CTATTGATGTGCTCATTTCTAAGTAAGTGTTAAGAGTTTTTCCAAACTCACAGCATTTGTATGTTAAGGGAGGCTGAGACATATACCAAAACTTTAGTAGAATTTCACTTTGCAGCTGCTTGCCTGCTTTGGAGTTCAAAGGGAATTATTTTATCTACTGAACCAATTCTTGACACTTCAAATTCACCTTTTTCAGTCCAGCAGGAATTGGCATCAAGAGTTTTTTCTTGTGTTTTATTTCTAGTGCTAATGGAGCAAAACATCTTGAAGTCAAGGGAGGGATTTCTAACACATTAGGCAGGTTGCTAGCATTTTAATTGTTCTCTCATTCCACTGTCCAACATGTGGAAGAAACTGTCAACTCATGCCGATGCGCTCTTCTCCCCTCTGCCTTTCCCTGCCCTGGCTAGCTCTGGGGAGAAGGAGCGTGGGCAGATTTCCAGCGCTTCCTGCTGAGCCTTGCGGGGCTTTGGGCAGCGCTGTTGGAGTTCGGAGAGCAGTCAGCGACCCCACGGCGATTTAATGAAGAGAGTCTTTCTCCGGGGGGCGAATTCAGTTTATTGCAATCCAAAGGGAATACAATAATTCGAAGGGGACCAGGCGTGCCACGCCTGCGTTTGCCGGAGTGGCGCGGGCAGGACGGAGCGCGCTGGAGCCAGCCAGAGAAAGCACGGAACGCGCCGCGCGAACGAACTAAATATGGAACGGGGGAAAAAACCGAACAGCCAATGGGGTAAAGCCACGGGGGTTTGAGGGTAGTGGGATACGGGGGTACATCCAATGAAGGACAGACAGGGGAAGGGTCCCAGGTCCTCTGCTTATCATCCGGCATCCCGGTGGAAGATTCTAGGTGGGGGGGAAGAGACACTGAGTGACAGACAGGCATTTGGGGTAAACAAGGTGAATGACTTAGCATTTTTGGGGACAATGGACCCGCGGGGAAAGACAGGAAAACCCGGGGAGAACCGTTACAGAACCGGGGGTACATGGAACAAACCTATACATAATACAAATGTAATAAAACATAAAAAACACAACTCCACAAACTCAACTGTATTTTGATCCAGAGCTGAGCAAGACCACAAAAAGGACCTTGGTAAAGAAAGGATGAGACTGATGGAGGAAAGACAGTGAAAATTTAAAGAAATCAGAGAGGATGTCTTACAGTGGTAGAGGGAACTGGTTAAAACAATGGAAGTGGTTAAGCCACTGGCAAAAAAGATGGCATGCCACATCCATGTAAGAGTAGGTAGTATCTGCTGTCAGTGAGAAGATGATGAATCAATTCAGTTGTTTAATGCTGAAAGGTGAATGCACGCTCTGATTTTGGGTTTAGCCCTCAGTCAAGACTGGGATTATGAAACATTGCTTTCCAGGCACAGAACAATGTCTCTTGTAGCTGTGCCTGGTGTTTCTTGGAGACATGCACAGGACTGAGCCTGTCTGGAGTTGGAATGCCAACTGCAGCTCCAAATGTTAGGCAGATTGCTAATTATGTGGTGTTTTGCATCATGCTTAGATTGGTGTGTGGAGTATATAACTCTACCAGTTTCTTTATCAGAAGCATTTCCTGCTGTTGAAGACTACAAATTAAGCTGAATTGCCTTGTTATAAGAAGAAACAGATCCAGCTTCTCCAACCATAGTGTAACTCTCCTGCAACATTCTGAGCCCATTGAGTGGCTGTGAACATACGGCATAAATGGTTTAAAAAAATCGGCTTCTAGAGAGCAATATGATTCCAAAGAAACATAGGTAGTCTTCATAACTGTTTGCAATCCTGTAGATAAGGATGTGGCTTGCAAAGGACCCATCTGCAATTTGCTTACTATTCCTGGATATTTGTGATCATGTATTTCAATTGTTAGGTTTGCCATCTTTCCGTGGCTGAAACTTACACAAGGAGTGATACAATGGAGAGTTTTCTAGAAGCTTTTCTCACAGCAATTGCTAAGTTTGAATTAGGATCACTGTGTTCTGGAGCACCAGTTTCTGTCTTGGCTTACTGCCCTCACCAAAACACTTGTAAAACCACAGAAATAAATCTTGTTGCTTCTTGGCAAATGCTGCATGTTAGTAATAGCCACTAAGAACTGGGCAAACTCAGGAGCAGCTTCCATGCTACTGAGTCCTAAAATAGTTCCAAGTATTCTTCCTGCTGTGATCAGAAAAATGAAGGATGATTGAACAAGATTATGCTTATTTTGGCTTGTTCATAAAGACTGATGTCGGGAGAGGCAAAAGTATTTCAAATGCAGTTCCAACTGTGCTGTAAGAAACTGTTGCTTCCAAGGAAACTGTTAGCATAAGGCATGTTGGGACTGCCATTTTTTCCCAATAGCTAAAAAGGGCTTTAATGTTTATGTAGTGCTGTGAATGCTACACAAAGGGTTTGATGAGTAAGATGAAAAGAAGAGCTGACCTGATGAAAATGTGTCTGAAAGGATGATTTGCAGTTTACATTATATCCCAGGGCTCCATGTTGGTTGGGTTTTTTTGCTTTCTGGAGTTCACATTTTCTTCCCTGAACACTCTTGGATCCTGAATGAAACTCCATGAATGCCTCTATAGAAGAATGCAGGATATTTTTGATCCACAGTCGCACAGAAACAGATGTGTTTCATCAAGCATGCCATGAAATAACATGACTCATTCTCTTAGCCAGTCTTACAGCAGCTTAATCACACAAGGATTGCCTGAGGTAAGAATCCTCAAATTGCTTCCTGTATTCAGCAGTCCCATTTGACAGTGCAAAATTTCTGGATTTCACATGACAGCATTCACCATTCCCATAGTCCTAATTTTTTTAATCTTCAGGAATATATCATTTGTAGCTTGGGCTGCATTTTAAAACAAACAGAACTGAAGTATTACACACAGTTTCATTAAATACGTGCTTTCAGAAGATATGAGATGCAAAGTGAATGCATCAAACAGAAATGAGTCATTCACTAAGATCCAGATGAAGACACAACCCATTGAAAGCGAGCTGTGCAGGTGGCCACAAATGAAGAAAAATAAATCTCTGAATGACTGAAATCAGCCTGATTCTTTCAGATTAAGTTATTCAAACAGCACCAAACTGTTAAATCTTGTATTTTGAGTTCTCTATATCAAAGGGGTTTTGTTCAAGGCTCAAAATGTAAGGTTTCTACATAAGTGATTATTTTCATGTTTTTTGCCTCTGCAATGGAGTTCTTTTCTGAAGAATAAAGGTAGTTTGTGGTCATGAGTGGAGATCCACTTTAATATTTTCATAGCAGATGGTGAAACATCTTCCTCATTGGCTGTTTATTTAATACAATATTGTATTTGTGACAACTCTTGTCAGCAACGAGGCTACCACGGTGCTATGTCTTATTGCAGGAACTTCTCTGGGATGTGAAATAACCTTGGTTCAGGCTTCCCATCCAGCCTGGACACTGCCACTGCCCAGCTGCCATTTCAGAAACACAACCACAGGGAACTTCTCTGTTGAATCTCATTGCCCCTACTTTTAACAGGGGGCTGGGGAAGGGTGGGATGGAATGGTGATAGGCTTCTGGGGTATTTACTCTCATTCTCACTGAATATGGAAATGGAGAATTAAGGGCAGCTCTGTTTTCCCTGAGGGGAAATGGAGTGTACTGATTAATTGCTGTAGGAATTTAAATGGTGCTTCACACTTCCTTCAAATGCTAGCACAGCTTTAAGACAGCCAGTGATGTGTGTTTTGTGGTATGCAGTCTTTAATTGCATATCCCTTTCTGCTGGAGGGTTCAATTTATTAATTTCATAGTGTTATATCAATCTCTGTCTCTTTGCTGGTGATTGTAGAGTATCATGATTGTTTTACAGTGAAAACTAAACAGTCTTGCTAATGCTAAAATTGAAGACAATATTCCGTCTTATGAGTACACAAGCAGAGATCTGTACCTTATGCCATGCTGTTCCAATTTTGCTTCCTTCCCCTCTCTAATCAGGCTCTGACTGTTTCTTCTTCTGTGTCTGTTTTCTTTGTTGACCCTCTTTTCACATTGTTATTTTCAGATTAGAGAAAATTGCTTTCTGTCTGGTAGGGATATAATTTCCTTGTACCCATGGAGCATTTCAGGGTACCCAGTCTTAGAGTAGATGTAATTAGGCTTTTGCTGAATTCCTACTGTAGCAAAACTCATGCCTATTTCACAGCATGCTGCCAAAATATCTCTCCATAAGATATTATGTCTTCTGAGTGCTCGTTTCTTAAAACACTTAGTATGTTGTTTAAGATTTTTGACGTTGTATTAAGAGTTCAGTAAAAAGGATTATGTTTGTAGGAGAAAAAAGAAGACTAACTTCAAACATCTCTTTGTTTTCCATCTTACTGCAAGGAATGTTCCTCATTCCCTGAAAGAAACTTCATATGCAACTATAGATACTTGAACCCAGCTTATGGTGTTTGACACCAAAGTCTCAGACACTGGCTCATGACTTCTGGAATCTGAGTTCAGTTCCCCACTACATAAATTACCAAGGGCCAAATCCACCAGAGGATATTCTTATCCAGGGTAAAGTCTAGGGCAGGACAGCTCTGCTTAGATTGACTGTCCAAAGGACCAGTGGTTTCAACTACTGCTGGACAGCCTGTGGTGCTTGACCTGCTGGTGAACCGTGCAACACCACAAAGTGGTACTTAAAACTATTGCTTCTTTGTTTCTCAATTGCAAATGCACATTCCTCACATACAGGTAAACAAGAAGTTCCCCAGTCCTTGTAGTGGACATCTATACATTTTGAAATCTGGGGAGTTTGAGCATGCTTTGTTCCACTATCCCAGCCATTTCTACACTTGGTTAGTATTTTCTGATTGTGATCTAATACACTGTTTAAAAAAGCCTTTAAAATAATTTTTCTTAAACAGCTGACAACTTTTCGGTTTAATACGTAAATCAAGCACTTAACCTGCTTCTGGGTATATAATCAACAAGACATTTCTACCGTGTATAGCAACTACCAACCTCCTCCTATTTTCCTGTTGACTTTAATGGGAGTATTTCAGTTATTAACTGAACCTCCTTTGAACATTAAATTGTTTTATCAAAGGAGCATAGCTTCTCTCTGTTGAATTCACAACTACCAGTAACACCACCTCACTCTAGCATCTTGATTGCTCTGATATATTGTTAGAGGTGGCTCTTCTCCTTCAGGGTTTTGACTAACTTTGGTTCCTCAGACTGCAAGACAAGTCATCATCATGGCTATCTTTCTGCTACTTACTGCTACAAATAGGGGCTAGAGATGATCCTGAAGAGAGAGATGGTTTGTTAAAAGCTGACATCTTGGAATGACCGCACATCACTGTAATATACCTAGTCTCAACATGAGAAGTATAAATCTTTCCAAAACTTTTTAACACTTTGTCAGCTGTTTAATGTAGCAAGAGTAACATGACATTCATGTGAAGTGTGTAAAACTGTTCAGGAGGCAGAGAAGCACTCACTGAATATTATACAAACTTGCAGCTACACTTGACAGGGAAACGTAAGTTGCTAAAAAATAATTATTACTGCACCAAATTAAATATGAAGTTTTTCAATCATCTGCAATCAAATAGCAATTTGAATTTTGGTGACCCTTTTTATAGTGTTTTGTTACTTGCATTTCACATGGATGGGTCAAGGGGACAAGACTGAAGGAATGAAAGGACAGAAACCTGAGGCTGCAACAGCATGGGAAAAATGCGGTCTGGGGACAGCAATAGCAATCTCTGCTTCAAACATCTTCAAGCACTGCCCAAGACAGTAGCTTCACTCCCTGCTGTAAGAAACTCAGCAGTGGGATACTTGTAATACCCCTGTTAAATGTATTTCCTGGAGAGTATTGTTTCAACAGTCACCTGTGAAGTGACTCAGTAATGTGGTGTAGATGCACTCTTGCTAGAGACAAAAGACTGCCATGGTTTGAGTAAATTTTACCTGGATTTGTCCCAGACATGCTTGACTTCCTGTGTTGTGCTGGCTAAAAGCTGGGTATTTAGGCTCTGAAGGGAGCTCTGCAAACATCTAAGGGCCAAACTATGTCTCAGTTAAGCACTCATCAGCATGCCTTGATACATCTGTACAAAGAGAACTACAGACATGGAGAGTTACTGTGTGTTGACCATGGCCTGCAGCTAAGCACCCACATATCCTCTCATCAGGACAAGAGAGAGAACAAGAGTGAAAGCAAGAACACTTATAGGTTGAGATGAGAACAGTTTAATAAGTGAAGGAGGAAAAAACAAGTAACATGACAGCATTCATTCACCACCTCCTACAAGACAGCAATACCAAGGTAGTGTCAAAGCAACAACTCATTTGGAAGAACCCACCCTCCAGTTCTTAGTGCTGAACATGGCAGGAAATACCCTTATGGCCAGTTTAGGTCAGGCACAGCGTTAAATTTTTTATCCACCTCCATACTACTCACTGGGGGAAGTGGGCAGTGTGGGAAAGAGCGACAGCAACAACACTGCAAGCACTGCTCATTAATGGACATAATATTGGTGGTGTCAACTGTTTTAGTCATAAACCCAAACCACATCACAGGGGCTGCTATGTTGAACATTTACTCTATCCCAGCCACAGCCAATACATCTTGTGCTGTCCACCTTCCCCAGGCATCCTCCTTTCCTATAATGGGCAGTGGTTGCTTTTCATGGCTGACTGCTATTCATGTAATTTCAGGTAGAGAAAGTTGAAGAGCTTTTGTTTCAATGCAGTTCTTATGTGAATTTCACCTCTGCCAGATGTGATTTCCAAGAGATTCTGGGGAAAAGCCATACTGGAATCATTGCAAAAGTGTTTCTTTTCATCAAAGTAGCAAGACTAATCTTAGCAGCCATCCCTTGCTGTTCAGCGAAAGCTGAATTCACTGAGGCTGCAGTAAACACAAAGGCAGTGATTTAGAGAAAGCCAGTGATCCAGAATAGGCATTGCTGACTTACCATAACACCCCATGTGCAAGAAATTTTGACTCAATTCATTAAGAAATTCTGCACCACAGGTCCAGTAGAAAGTCTGTTACAATTCAAACATCCCTGGTAGGCACAGGTCAAACTACAATTGGAACAACAAAGGAAAAGTTAGATATTTCACAACATAGAATCTTTGTTGTTTAGATTAATCAATCCAGATTATCTGTAGGTACATCGAACAGATGGACAGCTTGTCATATGGGCAGCTCTGTAGATACCACAGCTTATATATCCTTCACAGCAAGTCTCTGAGGGAGTAGTGTGACCTCATAGAAGATGCCAACAGTGCTCCTACATCCATTCCCTGTTCATCATACAAGTTTCTTGTTCCTGTTGTACTTATGGCTGGTAATTGTCGTCCATGTTTCTCCTGACAAAAGTGGAATCCGAAATGAGGAAAAAAGTTCTTAGAGGTTTCTTGTTTAAAATCACAATTTCTTTCATTGAAAGTAGATGAACAGCTCCTTTCTTATCCTCCCCTACTGAGTTTTCACAGAAATAACTGCTTTGGTGGAGAAATAAAATAAAAGCAAACTGCAGAGAGCAGAGCTGTAAGTATTTTTTTATTTAAGCAATAAAAAAGCAATACTCCAATCCTTAATTAAAGCAAGTTGAGACAACTATGTGGTTTAATGATCTGATAGAACCCTTTTTATTTCAAGAAGAGCTACATTTGTCAAGACAGGAACAATCAGAGAAATACATCTTGTTTATCTCACAGAATTACTATTATCTCCTGAAAACAGCAGAGTTCTCCATTTGGCTTCCCAGTCCCCTCTCCATGCCCCTGAGTAAATGCATGTGGGAATTTTTATACAGGAATACTTTCAGAAGACGTGGAGCTAGCATCACTGCTTGGTAGCATCTATTCTCCTTCATCACCCCATCCCAGTAAGGTAGCCATGCCAGATAATGAATTGCAGCACTATAGAGCAGTACTGCAAAGGGTACTTGGCAATTTTGGACTCCTATTCTGTGTAGTTACCGGCCTATCCCTCATCCCCTCCTTTGCTCAGCTCTCTTCAGCTCCTTATCCCCTAGGCCATACATGTATGAGTTGCTTCTACACAGCAAGGCGTCCTCTGTCTCCACACTGGTAACATATTCTCTATCTCAGATCTTTCCTCAACAGCAACTTGTCATGTGAATGGGAATGGGAAGGGACTTGCAGAAAAGCACTCATGTCCTGCTTTGTCTAGGGGTGTTCCCCTGTGATGTCCTGAGCTGCTGTGACAAGTCAGAGCAGTATTATGCTCAGTGAAGATCATGCACGGACAGGTAACAACTGAAGCAATACCTTGTGTTCTTAAATGCTGTTTTGCCCTAAAAGAGAATTGAATTTGTCTCCTTTTGATAAGCACAGTGACTTCCTCAAAGCAGCAGGTGTCTGGAACCATTTTGTCAGGTTTCTAATTTTCCTCTGATGATCACATTTACCAATGTTTAGCTCCTGGGAAGCTGATGAGACACATGGGCATGGTATCAAGATCATTCTGCCAAATGCTGGGAGCTATGTTCTCTGCCTTCATGCTTTTAATGAACACAAACACATGCCAACCCTGTCAGCTGGGTCATATAGGATAAGGAGAGGCTTATTGCTGGAACCACTCCAGTTCATGAAGAGTTTCTTTGGAACTATTTTATGAATAGGATGTAAAAATTTGAAAATACACATCAGGAGAGTTTTTGTGGGTTTTTTTTTTTTTTTTTTTTTTTTTTTTTGTACTAATCTTGTCCTTTTGGGAATTCCCATAACTGCTAGGTTATTGGACTACAGGTTTTTCTGTATGGGATGAGTAGGAAAGACATATTTTCAGTGGTTACAAAAGGGTATCCACTAGTAAGATTGAAGTTAATCTGGGTTTCTTCTCAGATTTTCAAATAGAGCATTTCCGTGATGAGTATTTAGAAAAAAAGTTGTGTTGCCAGGCCAGTTTTCATATGGCACCTCTTCACCAGAAGGAAATAGCACTTTATGATAAGGTGCTTTTCAAAGGAAATTTTTATGTGTCTTTTTCTGGAAAGCCTCTCTCTGTGCATATTTTGGTGTAAAGCTTGCTTGTCTAATACATATTTACATAATAAATTTAAGCCTTTTATTTCAGAAGGCTTTTGCAGATATCGACTCATCCATACAGTGGAATAAAAAAACTTGACCAGATAAAATGTAGCAGACCTAATGGGTCTGCTCAATAAGGTCTGAGATTAACCTTCATGTTTGAATACTAAGCAGTTAAATTAAACTGAAAAGGAGTAGGGCTGAGCAGTGGCTGTACTGCTGACCAGGTGTGCTCGTGAGATGGGACACAATCAGCCATGGGGAGAAGAGAGCAGAGACTCTGCCTTGCCAGAGGCACACAGGGTGCCGAGCACAGGCAGTGGAGCTGGACATTCTGTGTGGGGCTTGACTGAGGACACTGCTGCCAGTCAAACAGGAGAGCTCTCCTGGGGTATGTGATCTGCTAGACAAAGCAAAGCAAGTCCTCACATATGAGGTGAGCAGATAGCAGGAGGGTGCTCAGGGGTTCCCAGGCCTGGTGGAGACAGGGCTGAATGTATTTTGAGCTGAGAAAAAGAGGCTGTGTTGGTGGCTGTGTGCCATGGCCTTCCAGCACAGCCCCTGCCCTCAGAGGAGTGTGGGAAGCAGGGGAATATTGAGACCACTTTGAGGTTTCCTCTGTGCCTCTGTAATCAGAGAAAGATTAAATCCATTCACAGTCAGTCCCCGTGGGATGTAAATTGTTGGTGCAGCACAGCCAGTGCTAGGGACACTCCTGACTCTTCACTCCCCTCTCCCGGTTTCCACTGCATCCTGACAAAAAAGTAAAAATTAGCACAAATTTCACCTGAACTCAGGATTTCAGGAACAAGAACTGACCCAGGTGCCAAGGAATATAAAGAAAACAAAGAAATAATTTGCAAGAGGAATTAAAGCTTTAAGAACATAAAATCTAGCTCCTTGGTGCTTTTCAGACCTGTAGGATGATTTGGATGGTAAGACTGACAGTGTCCCACAGCCTGCTGAAGAAATACAGAAAAGGCAAAAAGGAAAATTATGTAGCTCTCTGTGTCAAACATCAAATCACAGAACCACAGGATATGCTGGGTTGGAAGTGAGTCATCAAGTCCAACTCTCAAGCCTGCACAGAATATCTCCACGAGCCACACCATGTGCCTGAGAGCATGTGAACGTTTCTCTCCAAGTCACTAACAGCTTAAAAAGAAATATCCATAGTTACATCTGCTCTGTGAAGGAGAAATAGCCTTGCAAGTTGATATTTGCCACAGATCAGTATATCACTTCGGTAAACATGACCACCAGTACATAAACAGCTGTTGGTAACATGCAGGGAGAAAAATCAGGATCACTGTTATGGATTTCAATGTCAGTAACTTAAACAAAAGACTCATAAAGCCAGAATGAAATATTCTTGAAATTCTTCAGCATTGTAAATGATGATTTGCTAACTAGCAAAATACTGTATCCAGTACTGTAGTCTTGTCAACACTTCATCTTGTACAGGAGAGGAGAAAAGTCTGTGCAATAAAAAAGCAATAGTTGTTTAGGTTACACTGACTGTTTTGGCCATAAATAGCCTGTTTGCTGCAATCTGTTTGCAGCAGAATCTCAGCCAGCCCTGCAGTCCTTGGTGACTGCCCCCAGAAAAAAACTGTCTGGGTTTGGGGTGGAGTCTAGCACTGCAAGTATTTAAATCAAGATTGAACCTTTTTCTGAAAAACATATTGTGAATGCTGAAGCAGCCATTCCTGAAATCTCTGCTCTGTATAATGCAGCAGATCACTCTAGGAGATCCAGAGTGACTTCCTAGTAACTCAGACTTAATAACTATGACAATTAATGTAGGCAAGTATCATAATTTAATGGTGATGCCATATGCCCAAGCACTTGATATTCTCAGTGGAAACACTACAAGCTAAACTTCAGAAATGCAGTTTAATTGTAACGCTTGAAATTCTTTATGTACGTTTGCCTCTAGTAGAAGGTGCTCAGTTTACATTTTGCTGTATATGCTCCATTTTACTTCGAGAAGAGCAATCTTTCCTAACACCCGCATGATGTGACATATCATGGCAAAAAAAAAAGAGAACTGTTTTCTTATAAGTAAAACTAATGAAAGGAATTATGCAGGGAGTCAATACTCTATTGACAAGTAATCCCAGGGACCATGAGGCAGCATATTTACAAAAATAAAGGAGAAGCTGGCACGGTGTCAAGCCACTCTAGAACCTATATTCATCTGTTTCTTGCTTTTCATTGTCTTCTTTTGACAGCTTTAATTTTTTTATTCCTGGTCAAGACAGAATGTCAGGCCCCCAGAGATTTAAGCAAACATTTAGGAGCTATGTGCTCTGTTAAGAAAAACAAATAACTTTATTCTGATAATGTAGGTTCAACATTGTGAGGATGAACTAGTTATCCTGCTTGGGCACTGAGATGTCTAGATTTTATAGAATATAATTAAATTGACAACATGTGATCTTTACTGTTACAGATGAATATCAAAAGGAGCTTGAAATGTTAGTAGAGTTGGTGGTTTTGTTTTGCTGGCAAAACAGGTTCCTGTATCTATCAATCAACCAAGTCATGTAGTCAAAATTCCAAATGTTTTTTTATTTGTCTGTAGCTTTTGAACCATTGTTTTAGAAGATACTATTGTGCTACTTAGTGCAGTCAGAAATACTGCCTTGACTCTTGTACAAACACCATATATATTTCTCATCAATTCTATTTCCTGAGGCATTTTTATTTTAATCTAGTCACAGGAAAAAAATTAAAATAAAATTTTTTATTAAACACTCAGTTTGAGCTGTTTGAAAGAAGCAGGACCATATTGATAATCATATAAAGAAAGTGAGCTTTAAGCTATTGTATTCAGATTCAATTCTTGCTCAGCAGGGTCTCTTAAATTACATTCATGGCAGAAAAAGTCAAGTTACCCTGAAATGGAAGAAAAAATATTATGTCCTTTCTCGGAGAAACTTTTCAGAAGCATTTCTTGTATCTTAGCAACAGTGTATCTAACAGCGCACTGATTTTTTAAAATTTATTTTTATGTTTTTATCTTGTTTTCTGCTGGTTTATTGACTGGGCTTAATGGATAATATCAAACTGTGCATAGGTAGCTGGAGGAAAAGGATGCTTGTCCTAGCATCTCTGGTCCAGCTGTGGTGCTCACAGCATGTTACTCTCAGCCACTAAGGAACTACCACAGTACCTTGCTGTTGTATCTCTATAGAGGAAAAGCTGGCTGAAAAGTCAGTTTGTCATTACAGTTTTTCAGCTGGGATGATTTTAAAAAATGTTTTATTTATATGATATAAACAGAGAAATTAGATTTCCTCATTTTACAAATATTCCTCATGCTGTGTATTCTTTAGAGATTAATGCTCTAAACCTTCTGTAAATTATGGCAGGATA